GAGCTGTGTGGATTGACAGTGACGCAGAGTCTGTCTTCCTTTCCCCGAAAGGGGTCATTCCTCAGCAGCAAAGGAAAACCATGGCTGTGTCTGCAGGTGACAGTGGCTAAATTAGCTAAGGTATCTGTGGTGTGACCACCTCCCCCAACCTCGTGTGGCTTGCAAAATGATCATTCAAACAACAAAGCATGTAAGTTTTGGCCACTGATGCGAGTTAGCAAAAAGGAGCGTCCTGGAGACCCAAGGGAGCCTCCTTTTTGCTGAGAGTCTCTGACACAAGTGGTCTCCATGGGCCTTGTTGAGTTATATTTCTTGGATGCCCACCTGAGAGCCCACGATAGCCTGCGACATTGGGGAATAATTCAGCAGTGCCAGCCTGCAGCCTTCTGGTTCTGAGTTTTGGAGTGTGTGTATAGGGGGCATGTGTGTAAGAAAATCTTTGCTGAAACGTGCTCTCTGGGGTGCAGTGCCGATCTGGGGATGGGGTCCCACAGCTGAGTGGACAGGCCACAGGCAGAAAATCCGTTTCTGAAAGGCATAGCCTCAGGAACCCGCCTGCACCCACTCGTGTCCTTGGAGTTTCTGAACCTGGAGGCTGTTCACACCTTGACAGCAAGCCCAGTCTGCCCTGAATCCGGGTCCCGGGCCTGGCTAATGAAACGTCCCCCTTCTATGGGGAAAAGCAGGCACGCAGGGCTTGCCCTAGTCTTCTTGGGTCCCAACACAGAACCAAGTCTTTACCAATGTGGTGGCCCGATCTGCACCTGGAGAAATGGGGGTGGCAATGGTTTAGAGAGAGAGTATTCTTGGATGACCATTGTTCTTTCTGGCTGTGGCATGTGGGGCTATGACCCCCAGCGACGTGGTCTAAGGCAGGGAAGAATACAGCTGGACTTCAGAGAGCATCTTTCTGCTTACCAGCATTTGAGATTATAAAAAAGTATTTTTTAATCAAAAGTTTCCAAAATAAAGTGAGTGATTTCCCCATCCCCCAAGATGCAATAAGTCTTGTTGGCTCTCCCTCAGGCTTACAAGTCAAGTGGAAAGAAAAGCAAGCAGCAGCTGTGAAGGAGAACATGAGGTCTCGAGCAAGGGCAGTGGGCTCACATGCCCGGAGGGACAGCCCTGCTCATGGTCAGCTTCTGCTTCCAGGACCCCCATCAGGGCAAAGTCCAGCTGGATCTGGCAGAAAAGGACGAAGACTATGTGAAGGCAGCAGACAGAAGTGTCAGCATGGAAAGCAGGACCTCTCGGCTCTACAGTGTCCCCAGGTAACAGGGTGTGCAGCGAGGCCCAGAAATGATCCCTCTACACAGCAGCATGTGTTCTCATCATAGCTCAAGGCATAAATCATACTTCCTAATGAAAAAACCCCAATCTTGGTAGCAGCGCATACCTTATACTAGGAAACTTGCAAGGAGACCAGTGTTGAACCACAAAGCGAATACAGGTTTTTGCTTTTGTCTGTAAAAATGTACAGCGTGCCTTCTTGGGGCTGTGGTGTCAGGACTAGGTGGTGCTCCCTGGCCAGGGCTCTGCTCTGGGCTCCTTCATACCTCGCCCACCCACACCACTATAGTCCCTCCCTTGATGCCTGACACCTCGCACTGCAGTGTGTTTTGTCTGCCATTGATGAGGAACAGCGACTCTTGGGCTGGGGTGAGGAGGAACTGTCCGAACAGCCCACTGTCCCTCACAATTCTGCGGGGTCTGCCCCAGGGCTGGGCAGGCCCCGTGGGTGGCTCCTTTAAGTTCTTCAGCATGCCCACCCTCCCTGTGGACAGCTCCAGGAACAGCAGGTCCGGCCCCGTCTGCAGAGCGGCGTAGATGTTGTACTGATTGCCTTTGGTGAAGGAGCGCTGGAACACCAAGTCTGAGATGCCCGGGCTTATTTTCAGGTCGTACAAGGTCTGGACCTCCCCCCGCGTGGTGATCTCCTGCACATGCAACCTGGGGCTGTCAGCAGCAGCGCTGACTATGAAACGCCCATCGGGAGATGCATGGGGGGTGCCTGCTATGTCACCGTTGGGGCCAACCACGGAGTCTGTGACACTGTCGAGAAGCAGCTGTGGGGTGGCGGAAGCAGAGTTGTTCTGTTGGCACTGGATGAAGAAGTAGCCGCCCAGGTGGCTGTGTGCCATGGCTTGGGGCACACAGCCGTGGGGCTGCAAGCCAATGGTCTTGAGGAGCATCAGCGTTTCCAGGTCCACTTTGTGGATGGCAAGGTCAGACTTGTTGAAGATGAAGCCAAACCTGGGAGGGGAATAACAGTGGTCAGAGGTTGAGAGGCCTCCTCCAGGGGTAGGGAATCTGTCATTTGTCTTAAGCGATTGTATCCTTTCCCTTTATCATAATCCTTCAATGATCTATCTACTAGCCTATTAAGAAGATCCACCATTCTGCAGGGGATCACGTCATAAGGAAATTATCCATGATCTCAAACCAAATGCAATTAAATCACAAATGTTCCAGGATTTATGCTCCTGTGATATGTAGAAATGGCAAGGCAGGAGGGCGAAAGAGTCTTCAGTAGCTTCTCCCTTGGGGATGTCTTTGAATCTGTTTCCTCGAGGTCTGTATCAGCTGGGAAGTGGTGGGCGTGAGTCTAGGAGGAGAGCGTGGAAGGAAAGGAAGATCCACCATTCTGCAGGGGATCACGTCATAAGGAAATTATCCATGATCTCAAACCAAATGCGATTAAATCACAAATGTTCCAGGATTTATGCTCCTGTGATATGTAGAAATGGCAAGGCAGGAGGGCGAAAGAGCCTTCAGTAGCTTCTCCCTTGGGGATGTCTTTGAATCTGTTTCCTCGACGTCTGTATCAGCTGGGAAGTGGTGGGCGTGAGTCTAGGAGGAGAGCGTGGAAGGAAAGGACAAGAGATGCCTGCCCTGACTCTGCCTGCTATGAGGACAAGATAGGAGATCCTATATCTTTGCTGTTTTCTGGACTAACCAGTGAGTCAGAATTTGAGGACGTAGATGCAGCTGACCAAGTATAGATTTCCTACCAGTGCCTCCTTAGTCTGGGGGAGGAATGCGTGGTGCAGTCTCTTCTGGCCACATTGATGATGCAAACAGAAAGAACCTCAGCCAGTGGGGCCTAGGACGGTTTTACTTTTGGAGTCAGATGGTCTGGTGCCCCCCTGCTAGCTACAGAGCTGGGGGCAAGCTGCCTGCCTCTCTGGCCTTGGAGACTCTAACAGGGGTAGTTCCTTCCTAGGGCTGTTGGGAGGATTAGATCTAAGAGGGAACTTCAGTGGAGGAGCTCAAGTAGGTGGTAGTTGCTCACATCTGGACTTTGTGACATTTCTCTTTGGAGGCGGGTTGTGAGTGCAGAAAGCCCTGACTCCAGGCAGGACTCCTCTTTGATCTTGAGAGCCTGTCCCTGGACCCTTTGGCGCTGTGTACACCTACAGGAACAGAGAAAAATCTCTTCCATAATTTTCTTTTGAAAAATCTGTACCACAGAATAGGGAAAATGCTCCCTCCCTCTCAGGCACATCTTTAAAGCATCCTTAAAGAGTCAGAGCAAGAAAGAAAACCATACTCTTATAAGGAACTTTAATGTAAAAGCCCCCCCCCCCCCCCCCCCCCCCCCCCCCC